ACCTCAACTTCAGCATCTGACCAAATGTTAACAAGCAATAAATGCTGTGTTGTTAAATGAAAGTTGATGGCAAGTGTATAATGGCCTAATTCAGTGCAGATAATGTCCACATATCCAGAGAATTGGGTAGATTTGGAGAAATGATGAACTGCAGTTAGCAAAATGCCTTCTTCACTTTTAAGAACATTCATCTGGCTTTCCAATGAAGAAATCTCTTTTCAAGACTTGACTAAATATTAAATTTTCTATTAAGTATTTTACCCATTTCTGAAGTGCACAAGCTCAGTACAAAATGGTTAAGATGAGATGTTCTAAAAGATTTCAATTGACATAAAATTAAGATAATGCTCTAAAGTCAGTTCATGGTTAACAAAGTTACCCAGGACAAATAAGTTACAATTAAAGTCTTTAACTTGAACCACTTTTGCATTGTTATTGTTTTCTGACCATCTTTAACTAATATGTATGATATAAGCATAACTAGTAGATTTATAATTGCAATAGATACTACACAGCTACAAATACAATGAGAATTTGAATAAATATAAAAAGGAACAAACATTTAGATTTGATTTTTGTTGTCAAATGCTCTCAAGCATTAGAATATAATATCTAGATGTTTTAATTTAAACATTTAAATAGTAATCTAATTTTAGATTAAAAAGAAAGCGATGATTCATCAAAATTTAAAAATGCTAGTCAGTAACAGGAGATTAGAGAATGCGTATGTGAGAGAATAAATGCAAAAATATCGCCAAGAGGCTTGGAATATAAATATTGGTTCCCAATTACACTGAATTATTGATTTTACAAGATGGATGTCATAAACTTCCAAAACTTGTTTTGAAAACAAATCAATAGGCACCATGTGCACACAAACACATTTAAGATATATTAAAAAGGGAAAAAAGTCGGGGGGGGTACAACAAACGCTGGTTACAGTTTACGTCATAATGTTAAAGATACAAAGATGTTCAATGTTTAAATTTTGATATCCAATGTACTTAAATTTTAAACTTCTATCTCTTTCAGCTTTTTATCACTTTTGTTTCTATTGTTATTAACTATCCTACATTGTATGAGCAGGAATTTTGTGAGGAAAGGAGATATGTTGTATGCTTTTGGATCTTTAAGAGAAAAATTGTTAATGCATATGTCAATTTAAAGACAAATTTCTCAATCTGATAACTATATGGATCTGATAAAATTAGAGAAAAATGCTCCCAAGAATTTCACTCTGCTATTAAATGAATCTACTGGTTTAAACTAATCTTCTCATTTATATTTGCTTCAGTCAATCCACATACAATGATTAAAGCACCTAGTCTATCATTATCTTTTAGCATGTAAATATCCTAATTTATTGTAAAAAGAATTATTTAATTTAACAGCACTTTCATCCTCATTTACTAATCTCTTCAATTGAGGTAATGTTGAATCAATTATGTGGTAGACTAGAATCCTGACAACTACAGTCAAGTAGTCACAACTCTTGTTTTCAGTAGAAAATAGGAATATTAGCTTTCAAAATGAATTCCATCATCAGAATTCTTCAGTTTGAGACTTCTGATATTTGCAGGTTATGAGGCTAGAAGAAAACTGGGGAGGAATGGCTTCAAGGAATTTTAAAAGTAGTTGAAATATTTCTAAATACTTTTTGAATAGAAAGCCATGCAAAATTAAAAAGGGTTGTAGTAAATCATTTGTAAAAACTGATCTTTTGTTAACTATTCAATTTTAGTATTAAAATAGAGAATTCTTTTTCTGCTATCATTATATTAAGAAACTTCATTTACAGATGGCTCAAAGTTTTCTGTAAAATCCTGAGTATCCAAAGATGGCAGGATAGGTACACAGAAATAATTTAAGTTTTGGTTCCTAATTTCATAACATTTTATGAATATTTAATAAAAAAAACAAAAAAAAACAAACATACATTAGTATTATTGTATTTACTTCATTTTATTGTTTCTATCATCATAAGTCTTCAATGACAAAGTTGGTCCTGAGTTTTGATAGAAAGCAATATAAAGTAGAGTAAAGTCAGTTATAGGAAATTAAGTGAAAATGCTTCATATAAAAAAATTCAATAAAATAGTTGAGGAATAATTTTACAACGAAAGACTTATAACATCTTAAATGCTAAATGTAATTTTATTTTAATGCGATAATTCAGTTTATGCTTTTGAATGATTTGTAAGATGAGCATTGTTAAAGAGATTTTATAATCTGGAAAATGGCTGAATTATTGGCTTTTACTGCAAGCCATTTGAAGTAAAATCCTTGCAAGACAGTAATAGCACTAAAAAGAAGAGATTAAAGCAGCGTTTCAGTGAATGAGACTGTCAACCAGTGCACTAAATGATTTATAAGGAGAAAACTATAGCAATATGCTTGGAGAATGACAGACTGCTGGCAATTCAGACTACAGGTCAGAGATTAAAGCAAAAACAGTTCATCATTTTCAAAGTGGCCCTTGTTTTATAAAAGAAAAAAAAAAAATTAGACTTAGCCATTACCCCTTCCCCGCAAAAAAAAAAAAAAAAAAAAAAAAAAAAAACTGTATTTGAGGAGAAAAAGTTAAATTGGGGTTAACAATCTTATGACTGAAAATTCATTTTTTGAAACCTTTAATGAAAGGCTATTATGTAGGAGCAGGTAAAAAAAGGTATTAACCTGCTAAGAGTTTTTGGAACTAAAATATTTAAGAGAATAACAAAAGAGGAAAGATTCAGCAACTCAACAGTAGATTATACCAAATATGGAGGTATGTGTGGGTGGAAATACTGAAAGGTGGCAGTATTGATCTCTATCTTAAAAAACAATTTATGTTATGAAATTTCATTCTAGTGTAGCAGTTGTTTTCTCATTAATAAAAATCTAAGAAAATTTTAAAAAAATGACAACAAAATCAATGGTAAAATTTAAATTTGTTTTGAACTAAGTCACTCTGACATTGTGAATTTAAAATCATTTGTCCACAGTTAAGATACATCAATAGGCTTACAAGGTTCCCACCCCCGAGTACATTTAAGAGGATTATCTATGTATTGAGTTTGAAAAAGAAAAAAATTTCAAAGTAGATGTCAATGGAATTATGCATTATATTTTCAACTTGTTCCTAAACAAGCATAAAAATAAGACAATGCTTGAAGGCAAACAAACCAATGTGATTTGGAGACATTAATCAAATAGGCGAGTTTCTCTCTCACCCCTACGAGGGAGAAAGAAGTGGGAATATATAAGCTTCTGAAATTAACTGCTTGGAATAGGGTTTGGTAGATAGCAAGTGCTCCATTTTAGTGACAAGAGATTAGAGGTTAAGACAGGCCTTCATTTCACTGAGGTTAGAAAAATTTGGCTACTGTAAAGTAGGAAAAATTTGTTTCCTATAAATTCCTAATAAAATTCTATAAAAGTGAACTTTTTGTTTAGAAATTGAAAAGAGAAAAAAATAGTATTAACAATCCGCTTAAGAAAAAAAAAAAACCTTTTATAAAAGGAAACTGGGCAGGCAATATTTCAGAAAGGAATACAGATTTTACAAGTAAGGATTCAATTTCATTTGGAGAGAACTAGAAAGTAAGGTAAGTTGGACTTTATATCTAGTGAATTTGAGATGAAATTCTAGGATGTTAATATGTGAAAACAATAAAGCATTGACACCGATAAGACAAGGAATAAAAGTAAGATTTTGTTTTGAGAAGGAAAAAAAAACAAACAAAAAAAACAAAAAAAAAGCAGCTTATGAACAAGAAGCGGTACTATAGACAAACTATAGTTGCATAGTTGCCCAACTGACTAATTACATTAAACTTGTATCAAGCTAGTTTTAACTGTGTTTAGTTTTTAAGGGAACTTGTGGGCCTGGTTTATATCTGGATTGTAAAGATAATTGGCTCACTTGATGGTGCATGTGTAGGAGGAGGAAACAGACAAAAGAGCATCAGAAAATTTAACTGAATGAGAAAAATGTTCCATTTATCAAAGATCAAAAAATGATGCATCAAAATGTTAATAATAGAGGAAAAAATGAATTGTAAAACCCCAATTCTCACTCCTCTTTGGATTAACATTGTGATCTCACAATGATATTTAAGGTAAAATTGCCAAGACTGTCAATTTTAAAGCCAAGCACTGCTTAGTAATAGCATTGAAATGAACTGGAATAATCATAAAATAAAAACAATTTCAGAGCTTCATTATCATTACCGAGAGAAAAGCATGATTAAAATATAGAAGATATTTACTCTTGACAATTTTCAAATTGGTTTTTAACTGACATCTCTAATACAGCCTTTGTTATTTAAGCAAATTGTTCAAAATTAAAAAAGCCAGAATTTAGCAAAAAGTTTATTCCCTTATAAAAAGCAGCACAAGATCCTTCCAACTAACATGGATTAGACAAACTAATCAGCAAGTCACATTTAGGGAATGACCAAAAAACATCAGCAGACAGAGTTTGATCATTCCCCAAATGCTTAAAAAAAATAAAAATAAAAGCAAACTCCTGCAGATATACATTTCTAAATTATTTCTAGTGGAATAGTTAAAACATTTACAGAAAATACATAAAAATAAACATGTAGGGGTGCATAACTTTTGTTTGATGGCCTATTTATCTCTTTTGCCTAAAAAGAAAAAAAAATCTACACCTCTTCCTTTCCAACAAACATATGGAGTTTGGAATTTGGTTATTGGTAGTGAGGGAGACACAGGCTTTCATCACTTGTTTCAAGGAAGAGAAAAAAAAAAAAAAAAAAACATGATAGAGATGATGAGGAGGAGGGAATAAAGTATATGAAGAAAGTCAGAATAAGATACACCCTCAACATACCCATGACACCATCCTCACAATTGGCTCTCCACCTAACCAATCTTCTCTTTCCAATTTCTGGATATTCACTAGTTTTTGTTCTTTCACTAACAGACTGCAGTGGGCATATATCTCATGAGTTTCCAAGAAAGAAACTTAACACCTAATTCCTCATTCCATTCTACTATTCAAACAAACTATCAATGTAGAGAAAGGAGAGGGGAAAGATAGACAGACAAAAAAATATAAATAAATAAATAAATAAAATAAAGATGGAAAAGCAGGGAGGGAGGGAGGAAAAGGGGGCACAAGCAGGGTCAAGTGAAAAAGGGGGAGCACGAGGGGGGGGAGTGGAAAAGCAAGGAATTCTAGTGATGCCAACTGAAAGAAGGGGAGCATGAATAAGGCAGACTAAAAAAAGGGGGAGCACAAGCAGGACCAACTAAAGAGGGAGACAGCAGCTACTTATGAAATTCAACCCAGCTTCAGCAATCATTTCCTGTTAGAAATTACTAGCAAGTAAGATTAGCACTAAATTGCGTTTAATTATGGCCACATGACATGATTTAGGGAGAAGGGAAAATGAAAGAAAATTTCATAAAACAAAAATAAAAAATAGCAAGGAGGAACGGGATGGGAGTAAATCTTGTGGAGCAGTAAGAGAAAAGTCATGAAATAACAAAAACAGATAATTAGAGAATAGGAAGAACCTATTTCCCTTAGATAAGATTTTTCTTTTTGAAGATCCCTGGAGGAAATGGATCATTATACTGCCTAAGGGGAAATAGTAAAACCAACTGAACCTTGAATTGACTTTTCAGGTGGTGGTGGTAGGACTTTTTTTTTTTTTAAATCTGCAAATCAGTTTAAGAAAAAAATAAAATAAAGTTAGAATAAATATTGTTATGTGTTAATATTGCAGAAGGCAACAAATAAGAAAATCTTGTACATTTTAGGTCTGTTGAAAAGGTAGCATTTCTTAGACACCTGTTCTAGAACAAAATATTTTGGCAAAAGCAGGAAATCAAAGAGACTTGTTGGTTAACTGATAGAATTGATTGCTTTTAAGTAGAAGTAAAATGTTTTATTTTGACTGACAAACGATATAAAAAATGACAATAATTAATATATTCATAATCCACATGCAAATACTTGATAATGAGTTATTAACAATTGGGCACATTAAATGATAATGAAATCAGATAACATCAATTCACCTTCTTCAGATATATGCCATATCCAGTAGCTTTCTGTCAAACTAAACCTTTTATTCAATTCACAAGATAGAATGTTCTTTTTGCCTTCCAAGTTAGGGGATATTACATACTAGGTTAATTTGTCTTCATATCACATCTGATAGCTTAATATACTAATTTAACTATCATACTTCAGTTATATTTCCTATTGCCTCAATAAAAAGAGAATCATGACAAAGAGAGCTGATGGTTTGGTTTCAAAAGGAAATACACTAGCAGAACTTCATAGAAAGCTTTGTCTTCCTGGCATTAAGAGGATGTCCCATTTTGTGAGATGTCACCATCTCCCATAGTGTGGAAGGCATCAAGCTTGTGACTGTTGTCCGATTTTTTGGAGCACAACAGATTCTTTCATTTGGGAAGCTATATCATTAAAACTAGCTATACAAACCTTTTTAAGAGTGCTCTTCTATCATGCCCCTGGAATAGATAGATATATATGCTGACCATTGTGGATGAACATTTAAGATTTCCTGTTTGCATATTCATGTCATCTTTGACATAAAATGTCAGACCCAGCTTTTCTCCATCTTCAACATGTGCCTATTCATTTCATTCTGATCATAGTTTTCTTTTCAATCCAGAGAAATAGTTTCCTTCATAACAATGGCATTGGAACAAGTCATACTATTGCCTATAATCCTCAGGACAGGCTAAAAGATTCAAAGAGGTAATCTATAAAAACCATTTCATTTGCATTGAAACTGATTTGCCTGCCAAGTGCCGAGAAGCAGTCCTTGGTAGAGTATTGCACTGCCTTTGGAAACTTGTTTACTTCACAAATGCCTACTCCGGTGTCAAAGACAGGCAACTAGTGGTAACTCTCTATTCTCTTAGCTGCTACCCCCAGAATCTGTACTTAAAACATAAATGGAGGAATAGTTGAAAGCCAATCCAAACTGTACTCACATCGGACTGCTAAATGACACTGAGACACCTGTAAGTGTTTGTCAGTTTATGAAAACTCTGGAATGGAATTTGATCGTGTAGGTAAAGTTGTGAACTGTAAACTTAATGCAGTCCCCAAGTTTAGCAGCAAGAATATAGCAAAACCATTGAAAAATTAATAACAAAGATTTCCTGAATCATAATGAAAATCAAACTCTCAACAGCCCCTCATTGGGAATCATGATACTGCAGTATCTAAACTTGCTGGTTTTTCTATTTCTCATTTTGGTAGCCCTGCAGCTATTGGATGATTTAAATGTATATTAGTAAATCTGATGACTATGTAAAAGTTCTGGAGTCAAAATACATTGTAAACAGTTTTTCCTTAGGCAAAAAGAATGATATTATTCCTTACTTTTTATCTTGAGTTGAGTTGTTTCGAAATTGACTAGTTTTCATGTGTATATATAAAGATTTATGATCATAAAAATTTTTCTGTCATGATGTAAGACTGCAGTTGAATAAATAACTGAGAATTTGGTTTAATTTTGAATTATACCACAAAGAGTAATCCATCTAGTTGGCTTATTGGGATACTGGTATTAGAAGAGTTAGATACTAGTTTATCTTAAACCGCCAATATGGCCACATCTATGAGAACCTTGCTGAACAGGAGTTATGTGATGATTAATTTTGATCACAATAATAAGTGTCTGTCTCAGAAATTCAGACATTTCCTTTCTTATTACTTAAATGAAAAATTTACAAGTTGTTTATTGCTGCATCAAGTTTTCAAACTTAAGATATTTCTTTGCATTGTTCAGTAGCTCTTCAAAACCAAGTAAGTCATGATAGAAAATAATTTTTTTTTAAAGAGGAACAGAAGTTTTGTAGAAAATAATCATTCTATTAGGCAAAAATTTAAAAATAAAAGTCAAGAATTTTACCTTGAAATTCAGAAAAATATTTAAAGGTTTAATAAATAAAGTTATCTGTAAATTGGGAAAAAAACTTGTTTAGTATAGCACACGATTACACTTTCTTAGCAAAAATATCAAATAAAACAACTTACTTTTTAAGTAAATCTTTGAAAAGTACAAAACTTAATTTTTAATTCATGATGCATTTTGCTTTATTTCTTCAAGAAGAACTAAAAGCAAACATCATTGATGATGATGTTGATGATAGTGAATCTTGGTTGTTGCTGTTGTTTACAGCCAACTAGGAAATATCTATTAGATTATGAAATAAGAGAAATTAGTCAAGATGAAAAGATATTGGCAGATCAAAGCAAACTGACCAGTTTATAAAATTAACTTCAAAGATGAAAATGGAAGGCAAGAGGAACAGAAGAAAGCAGTGCATAATCTATCTAATGGGCTTCTGTAAATGGTTAGCAGAACAGGGATTAGGAGATATAGCAAAAAGATAAATTTTACTAAGGGCTACAAGAAACTGGAAGTTGTGGAGAGCCATAATTGCTCATGTCCTGAAGGGGCACAACAAATATTAAAAAAAAAAAAAAAAATTCTGTTATTTTATACATTTTCTGCTGCATTGTTATAGAATTGTTACCTGAATGTGCTGGCCCAGTTTGGGAAAAATATGTAATTATTTTTAAATAGAAATTACTATGAAAATGTTGATATTGATTTTTTATAGTCACTGCCATTTTGGTTTCAATCAGAACCTCTGCAGTGTGAACTAAGCTAAATAACACCCCTCCCAATACAATATATTGCAAACCAGGTCACATTGTAGATTAATATAAGTCTGCACTGGTTTGGAAATAGCACAAAGTACTAATTAGTTTATGATGTCTTCAAAATGTATATCTACATCAACAGCAAGCAATGTAAGGTTTCCTAATGTATAAACATGTCTACAGCAAGAGAAGTGTTAATACCCCAGTGAACTTCACTTAAAATATGACTGGTGCTGAATGTTATTTTTGTTTTTAAATTTCTTCTCATCTGTTTTTCTTCCCTTCTTAGAGGTACACAAACTTCAAGAAAAACATAGAAAAAAGAGAATGTTAAACTGAGTGTTAAATTTAAAACAAACAACTTAAATCTGTTACAAGGCAGCAGCATATGTAGACTGTTTATTTTTATTTATTAGCAACACAAGATTTATTTTCCCTTATTGTGTAAATGGAGATATTTAGATAATCGTTTTTTTTCCTTCTTTTTCTATCCTACATTATTTTTTAATGTTATAAACATTATTTTTAGTGGGTACACATTATTTCAGTTGCTATCCCAGATATTTTTTTAACAGTGAAATTAATAGCAACCAGCCTAGATTGAGAAGTCCTACTAAAGATTGTACTCCAAACAGGAATCGAATGTGAAACCACTTTTCTTTTTTAGTCAAAGTATGTCTTTAATAATTCGGCCATGGAGGCTGTGTTGAATAGGTAAATCAAACCTTGATCTATCAATGCAGCCCCCATGGCTGAATTGATAAAGGCACATTTCTTCTATAAAAGTGGTTTCTCTGATGGAAAAGGTAGCACAGGTTTGATTCCTGTTGGGCACAATCTTAATTCTCAATCTTTTCAAACCAAGCCAGTTTATTAATTTCACTGTTTAAAAAAAAATAAAATAAAAAAACAAAGAGCAACTCAAATACATATAGCCACTAAAAATAATGTTTATAGTAATATAGTAGTTTGCTAAAATTTAAATTCAATAAAATTGCTATAGCTTCAAGAAAAATATTTTATACTTACAGTCAAATGTATTCTTGACTTTTACTATCATGTCTATCAAGTGAGAGCTTCTTTCTTGTAAGAGACGCTTAAGGGTAGCTTCAGATCTGTCTTTGTAGGATTTCTCTATTTTTTTGGAACAACAGGATTTACCTGGTTCCAAACCATTGAAACAGACAGACAAGTCAGATTCTGAAAAGAAAAAAAACAGGCAATTAATTAAACATTTCAAAATTTTCAAACAATTTAACATTAAGTTAATTACCAAATTTGACAGCATGCAAAACATGTTGAATACAGAAAAAAAAAATGTTGAGGACTCCCGTAGGCTATTTTTCTCCCTAATGCTCATGACGATAGACTATAATTTTACCTGAAGCAATTACTTCTACCTAGCTTGACTCCAGAATAATAATACCATTTACTCAACATCATAGGTACTGTAAAAAGAATTATCATAAGATAATGGTGACATTTGTTGGTACTACTTAGTTCATCATATCTAAATATGCTTCATCACATTTCTATCATTAACCAGCTGGAATCTACAGAAGAGATGTCACTAAAAGGAAATGCTGCTAATGGAAAAAAACATTACATTAAAGCTGTAGAGAAATGTATCAGTCATACAAAGGAACCAAAGAAAAATTACAGTGAAGTGACGGCTATGTCCATATTGTTTTCTTGCTTTATGTTCAGCTGTGTTATTAGTTTGCTTTTTATCTACAGTAATGATGTTTACTATAGTACCTTTGTAATATAATGAGAGCTTTGCTTTGCATACCCTAAAGAGATTTTCTTGAATATGTTCTGCTGAAATGGAGAGACATCTGATAAGTGCATGTATCTTTTATGATATCAGATATGGTAATTCTTGTAATCTAATTTTACTTTGAATTATTTGGGTTCAAACATTTCATAATGAAGAGTGCCTGTGTAAAATGAATTTCATAACTAAAACTTTATACAGTCATGTATACAGTCAAAACTCTATATAGTCAGGAAAAACAAATAAATAATGTTTGCAAGAGGTCTTTCATGAAATATGATGGTTAGAGTGAGGTATGGTTAGAACATAACTATGCTGGAGCACCTGAATGCTGTTTTACAAAAGCAAGTTTGGTTTTTTATCAAGTTGTAAACTTTATAAAGTCAACTACAACCTGATTTTGGAGCCTCAATAAATCTTTTTTTTTATGCTTTTTTTTCTTTTCTAAATGCTATCCTTCCAGGTGATAACTGATTATGATTCTCTACATATTCCTTTATTTTATTATCTATGAATTGTCATGCATTCTTGGGAAAGATATGAGATTAGTTTCCTGTTGTATTTTTCATGGTTTGAATTCAGAGTTTTTTCTCCTCTTAGACTGGTTGCTATTGAAGACTAAAAAATCCAATCTATCCTGCTATTTTAACCCATAGCGAGTAGAGAAAAGAGATTCATGCCTTTCTTCAAGGGGATTTGTACAAAAGTGAATACAAAAACTAGCCCAGAATTTGAATTTTCCTTGCCAATTCCACTTCCCACACTGATATCCATTATACCACCTGCACATAATGTCAGTCATGCCAAGTTTTTGTTTTAGTAATATAGTTTATACTGAAATATAAATTATCATGAATAAGACATAAATCTGCAAACCAATGGTACATTTGTATTAAAATAGTTCACCATTAGTATCAAATTGGACTGACATTTGTCATAGAATGAGCATTCTAGCTTCCTTACATTTTTATAGCAAATATTATTTCCTAATGAACAAGACCAAACTTTTGTTTAATCTTTCAAATAGATTAAGAAAAAAGTACTCTTCGCAGTGTAAACAAATAAACATATCTATTACATGTGGCCAATACCTCTGGATTAGTTACCAAGTAAATAACAGGTTGTAAAAATCTGTAAACCCAATATTAAGCTACCTAATGTCGAGTAGAGGACAAACATTTAAATATTGGGTTAGGAGAAACAGAGTGTGTGCTTATCATGGAGATTTATTTTGTAAGTTTTATTTTGGCTAAATGGATGAATGAGTCCTAACTTGTTCTAAATGAAGCCTTTTCTTGAATCGTGAGGAGAGAATACAGAATACCAAAAACCTCTGTTCTACCATCAACTCCTGCAGGTACATTTGTAGCATTATTCACTTTCTTTTTGTAAGGATTTCATATTAGTTATCCATCAACCTGAAACAAGATGAGTAGTGCAATGGTTTAGACTCTGGTCAAAACAGAATGAGGTCAATAAATCTCATGTTTAATCTATTTCTTCAAAACTGCTAAAAAGGGCCTGTCAACAAGTGGATAGTTTGTTGAATTGATTAAGATAAAAAGTCAAAATTGATGACACTGATACACACACAAAAAACAAAAAAAAAAAAACACATTCAATTCTGTTTGACTGTGAGCTTCAGAATGAGATTTGTAAACTAAAAGTAATTATTGATAAGCAGATTAACAATTGACTGCAAAAAGTCACATGACCTCTAATCAAAGATTCTGCTGACACAAATGCAGAACAATTAAAACTGTTTCAAAAAAATAATATGACAAAACTAAAATTTAATGGATACAGAAGTTTTTTTTAAAACCACAATGCTGCAAAAACAAGAGAGTCTTAGATAGAGAATGTGTGTATATTTTTTTATAGAGAGAGCAAATTCATCTTAGAGAGAGAAAAAAAAAAGGACAGTGGAAAAGTAAATACCTAATCTACTTATGGTTCAGGGCAATTATAACTATCCTGATGTGGGCTTTATTATAATTCACACTTTGGTCTGTTCATTTGAAAATATACACAAGCTATACTGCTTATAAACAAAAAAAAAAAGAAAAAAAAAGAAAAAAGAGCCCCAAAAAATAAAACAAAGAACTTTTGATATGAGCTTTAAGATAACTGTATATTCTAACTAATAAGGCAGTCTATCAATTGTTGAGTAGAGTGTAACCCTCAGAACTTAGAAAATCTGATTACAATTATTTATGATCTATTCATTTTCAGGTTACATTTTTTTTATGCAGTTAAAATAGCTGTGTTGTTTGAAAAATTCTTTTTAGAAAACAATCAAAAGTTAATCACAGGGCTTGTCTTAAAATTATTTTAAATGTGTTTGTCTACAAAAACTTATTACCATGTGTGAATAAATTCTTTATGAAAAATACTGCTATGTTACTTTGTATATTATTTGAAGTTGTATAGTTAGGTATGGTATTAAAAAGGTGTGTTTGAAGACAGTTCCTGGACAGACTACAAGAATAAAGGATCATTTTGTAATTATAAAAAAATTAAAGTGTTCTTGTGGCAATAGAAGGGCAAAAAATATAACACTGAATGGTAGTACCAAACTTCAAAACACTGATAATTTTTTTGTTTTTATATTTTTAAGAATAATTTTCACTAAAAAGGAATTTTTTTTTCTAAAATGTTTCCTATCTATATAAAAATTTTTGACTCACCAGAGGAGATAGGGGTTCTATATAAAAAAAAATTCAATTGATATGATTATTTCAGTAAAGAATCAAGATATATTCACAGACTTGTTAGCCATTTATAGAGAGAAACTAGCTAGCCACTTCCATTCTTATAGAACTATGTGTGCGTCAGCAAACAGTGAGTCAAAAATCACAAAAAAATAAACAAACATGCCCCACTCAGCTATACAGATTTGAAGCTGAAGAACATCGCTTCAGAGTTGGCTGCATTCTTCCTTTTTAAAAGGGAACCAAAGACATTTTTAAATATTATTTGCTTACAATAGAAAAAATATATGAAGCAAAAATATTAAAAATAACAATAAACTTTGAAGATTATGATGTAAAAATAAAAGGAAAAAGAACTTTTATTTTCTTTATGATATTTATATGAAACCTTTCTCCTCCACACCAGTCACTGCAACATTCTTCATTTCTACATCATAAAGCTATCCAAACAAAATGGCTAGCATTAAAAGACAGCAAGCAGAGACTAGATGAATTTGCTTCATCCCAGAGTGGGTGGAACATCATTTCTTGTTAGTCCAATGTTTTTGCTTTACCAAACTAAATAAAATCAGTAAGATTTTGCTTATATCAGCCATCACACTTTATTAAGGACATTTTCAGAGAGAAATGAAAAAGAAAAAGAGAGAGTGAGAAATTTTCAAACTTAATATCTATATGCATCGGTGTGCATATTATATATATATATATATATATATATAAAAATGCATACCACCCCATTGAAAGGTGGGCAGGTAACTTTTTAGTAAACTGTTCTTCAGATCATCACTACCAAGTGGTGAGTGATCATAGGGTTAGTAAATAATCCTACTAAACTGAAACTATATATATATATTTTTCCAAACTGATAAGAACTTTACAGTGTGAGATTTATTAGGCTATCATGCTACAATTATGCAATATTAGAAGTTATGTATACGCAAACATTTCAAACCACATCAAGAGTGTGACAAGGAGGAAAATGAGAGCTCCAGTCTATTTAATCTTTTCATAGACTATGCCCTATGCATTTACAAACACAGATGTCAAGAGATGGACACTGATCATTTAAGCATTCCATACCATATCCCAAATGAATCTACCAATAGAAAACAACAGTCTGCTTTCTCTCCAGAGGCCATTATACTGATGATGAGGAGGGCTATGCTGATAACACAGGTATTTATAGTTGGGATAAGAATAATCTTGAACAGAAAATCAACATCCTCTAGGAAGTGTTCCAAGAAATAGGACTCAAGATAAACCTTTCCAAAACAGAAACTATGATCTGAAATTGGAATGAAAGCAGTAATGGCTAATCCATCATAAAAATTCAGGATGTGGAATTAGTAAATATTAAAATTTCAAACATATTGGTGTATGGATCAGTTATAACAAATTTAGTATGAGAGATAAGGAAGTTAAACACAGAATAGTTTGCACCAGAGGTAGTTTTGCTTGACACTGTAAATTGCCACAAAATCCAAACATCAACCTGAAAACCACAGTCATGTTCTTAACCTTTATTCCACCAAATTCTTTCTAGAATTGTTCCCCCTGCCACCGCATTTTTTGAGAGCACAAAAAACATGAGCTCCTACAGTTTTAGAATTGTTATAACTTTGTGTGTATTGATTTTATTTTTTGTATAATAAAAAAAAAAAAAAAAAAAAAAAAAAATGGATGAGTAATATTTTGATGTAATGCATTATGTT